ATGTGTCCACGTGACCACTGTGTCCTTGTGTACCCTTGTACCATGTGTCCACTGTTACCCTGTGTCCACTGTGTACCACTGTGTACCCTTTTTTGTACCACGTGTACCACTGTGTCCCACTGTGACACTGTGTACCTGGCCACTGTGTACCTTTTGTACCACTGTTACCACTGTGTACCCTGTGTACCATGTGTACCACGGGGTAACCACTGTGTACCTTGTACCATTTTTGTACACGTGTACCATGTGTCCCAATGGGTACCATGTGACCACTGTTACCATGGACCACGTTTTCCACTGTGTCCACTGTGTCCCATGTAATTTGTCTAAAAGAATCCGTTCTCAGAACAAAACCCCCAAATTTTATACTATTTTTTTCAACAATAACGATGTATTAACCGTAAGGGAAGTCTAAAAGGGAAAATGTATTTCTTAGATAACCCAAACACAAAGAGTAAAAGGTCATTGTAAGCTTTCAATTGGTGAAAAAAGGGGTTTGATGGTTAAAAATAGCTCGTCTTGATTTGTGTGACAAATCACAATTAAATGTTGATTGAAACATAAACAAAATACAACATGACAAAAAAAAAATGCCAAAGCCCTTCGATGTTTTCACAAACCTATGATCTTAAAGGGGATTAGCAAGAAAACAAGGGTAGCGCACTCATAAGTTTCCTGTGAGACACCCTCAAGTTTAATTAAAGATCAATGGGAGTGAGCGGGTAATATTCTCCCTTTTTTTTGGATTTCCATCTGAACTCATTGTAAAAAAAAACTGAGGCCCAATAGAGCGGGCCCAAACTTTCCCATTCGGTACCCCAAGATGAATAAGACAATGTGTAAAAAATTTGGTTTTAAATTTTTGAGAGCTTTTTGCCCCCACAGCAGGCTTTACCAATCTTTTAAGAGGCATGAGGATGGAAAAAAAAGGGTTCAGCAGGTGAAGAGTGATTCATGTGGGGGGGCCCCACTAAGGGGAAGTTTTGACAATGTCACATGTGTTGCTGATCAGGAAGGTTCCCAAACGACTTTTTATGGCCCTTTTGACCTATTTCATAGGGGTCCTTGTTGACCTAGTTTAAAATGTGGTCCTTGCGCCCCTACTTTCACTAAGTGGTCCTTTTTGCCCTACTTTCAATAGGGTCTTTTTGACCTATTTCACTAGTGGCCCATGTTGACCTACTTTCACTAGTGGTCCTTGTTGTCCTTTCATTAGTGATCATTGTTCACCTACTTTCTCTAGTGGTCTTTGTTACTCTACTTTCACTAGTGGTCGTTGTTGACCTACTTTCACTAGTGGCCCATGTTGACCTACTTTCACTAGTGGTCCTTGTTACCTACTTTCACTAGTGGCCCATGTTGAACTACTTTCACTAGTGGCCCATGTTGACCTACTTTCACTAGTGGTCCTTGTTGACCTGCTTTCACTAGTGGCCCATGTTGACCTACTTTCACTAATGGTCGTTCTTGACCTACTTTCACTAGTAGTCCTTGTTGACTTACTTTCACTAGTGGTCCTTGTTGACCTACTTTCACTAGTGACCCATGTTGACCTACTTTCACTGGTGGACCATGTTGACCTACTTTCACTGGTGGTCCTTGTTGACCTACTTTCACTAGTGGCCCATGTTGACCTACTTTCACTAGTGGTCGTTGTTGACCTACTTTTACTAGTGGTCCTTGTTGACCTACTTTCACTAGTGACCCATGTTGACCTACTTTCACTGGTGGCCCATGTTGACCTACTTTCACCAGTGGCCCATGTTGACCTTTCACTAGTGGTCCTTGTTGACCTATTTTCACAAGTGGTCCTTGTTGACCTACTTTCGCTAGTGGTCCTTGTTCACCTACTTTCACTAATGGTCCTTGTTACCTACTTTCACTAATGGTCCTCCTTGTTGACCTACTTTCACTAGTTTAGTGTGTTGGTATATTCAGTGTGTTGGTATATTTAATGTATTGGTATATTGGTATATTTAACGTGTTGGTATGGTGGTATATTTATTGTGTTGGTATATTGATATATTTAACGTGTTGGTATAGTGGTATATTTCAGTGTCTTGGCATATTTAGTGTTGGTATTTTCAATTTGTTGGTATATTAGTATATTCAGTTTGTTGGTATATTGGTATATTTAATGTGTTGTATATTCAGTGTGTTGGTATATTTAGTGTGTTGGTGTATTCAGTTTGTTAGTGTATTCAGTTTGTTGGTATATTTAGTGTGTTGGTATATTTAGTGTGTTGGTATATTTAGTGTGTTGATACATTCAGTGTATTGTATATTTAGTGTGTTGGTATATTTAGTGTGTTCTTATATTTAGTGTGTTGGTATATTCAGTGTGTTGGTATATTCAGTGTGTTGGTATATTCAGTGTGTTGGTATATTCAGTGTGTTGGTATATTTAGTGTGTTGGTATATTCAGTTTGTTGGGATATTTAGTGTCTTGATATGTTTAGTGTGTTGGTATATTCAGTGTGTTGGTATATTCATTGTGTTGGTATATTCAGTTTGTTGGTATATTTAGTGTGTTGGTATATTTAGTTTGTCGGTATATTCAGTTTATTGGTATATTAAGTTTGTTGGCATATTCATTGTGTTGGTATATTCAGTGTGTTGGTATATTCAGTGTGTTGGTATATTTAGAGTATTGGTATATTCAGTGTGTTGGTATATTTAGAGTATTGGTATATTCAGTGTGTTGGTATATTTAGTGTGTTGGTATATTTAGTGTCTTGATATATTTAGCGTCTTGGTATATTCAGTGTGTTGGTATATTAAGTTTGTTGGCATATTCATTGTGTTGGTATATTCAGTGTGTTGGTATATTCAGTGTGTAGGTATATTTAGAGTTTGGTATATTTAGTTTGTCGGTATATTCAGTTTATTGGTATATTAAGTTTGTTGGCATATTCATTGTGTTGGTATATTCAGTGTGTTGGTATATTCAGTGTGTTGGTATATTTAGAGTATTGGTATATTCAGTGTGTTGGTATATTTAGAGTATTGGTATATTCAGTGTGTTGGTATATTTAGTGTGTTGGTATATTTAGTGTGTTGATACATTCAGTGTATTGTATATTTAGTGTGTTGGTATTATTTAGTGTGTTCTTATATTTAGTGTGTTGGTATATTCAGTGTGTTGGTATATTCAGTGTGTTGGTATATTCAGTGTGTTGGTATATTCAGTGTGTTGGTATATTTAGTGTGTTGGTATATTCAGTTTGTTGGGATATTTAGTGTCTTGATATGTTTAGTGTGTTGGTATATTCAGTGTGTTGGTATATTCATTGTGTTGGTAAATTCAGTTTTGTTGGTAATTTAGTGTGTTGGTATATTTAGTTTGTCGGTATATTCAGTTTATTGGTATATTAAGTTTGTTGCATATTCATTGTGTTGGTATATTCAGTGTGTTGGTATATTCAGTGTGTTGGTATATTTAGAGTATTGGTATAAATTCAGTGTGTTGGTATATTTAGAGTATTGGTATATTCATTGTGTTGGTATATCAGTTTGTTGGTATATTTAGTATGTTGGAATATTTAGTGTGTTGGTATATTCAGTTTTGTTGGTATATTTAGTATTTGGAATATTTAGTGTTTGGTATATTCAGTTTGTTGGATATTTAGTGTCTTGATATATATAGTGTGTTGGTATATTCATTTGTTGGTATATTAGTGTGTTGGTATATTTAGTGTGTTGGTATATTTAGTGTGTCGGTATATTCAGTTCGTTGGTATATTCAGTTGGTATATTTAGTGTGTTGTTATATTTAGTGTGTTGGTATATTTAGTGTTGTATATTCATGTGCCGCATTACAATATTATTGATGGATATATTGTGTACCGTGTTGGTATATTTTGTGCCACTTAACAATTTAATAACCAAGTTATATATCATATGGTCGTGTGTGTGTATTGATTTCAAGTTGAATTAATGACAGGATTCAGTGTATTGATTAATATTCTCCCTGTTATTAGTGTCTCTGTTTATATCCTTGTTTCTCTCTCTCTCTCTCTCTCCTTCTCTCTCTCTCTCTTCTCTTCTCTCTCTCTCTCTCTCTCTTTCTCTCTCTTCTCTCTCTCTCTCTCTCTCTCATCTCTCTCCTCTCACTCTCTCTCTCTCTCTCTCCTCTCTCTTCCCTCTCTCCTCATCCTCCTCTCTCTCCCCTTCTCTCCCTCTTTTCTCTCTCTTTTTTTTTTTTTTTTTTTTGTTACACAGGGTTTGACAAGTTTAAGGATCCCTAGCGTTATTGACAAGCCAATTACAGGTTAAGGATTCCTAACTTTATTGACAAGCTAAGAGCTGTTACCTACATCAGCTTATTTGAAAGCATTTTTATTGTTATGAGACATACAAGTAGGGAATAGGATGAAGTTGGAGCCATATGTGGCCAGCATTTTCATTGATCAACTGACTTTATCTCGTTGACATCATTATGCTATACGAATGTGTACCATACTCGAGTCATCCTGGGGATAAATGATCTCAGATGAAGTGATGTTCTGGAGAAGGGTACAGCCAGAGTGAAGTTTTCTGCTTTCTGCCCGTCTTGTGGCATAAAAGCTTGTTTCACGCTGTCCTCGAAGTGGATCCAAGTGTGGTACTTTGACAATATTGGCCTTGTACTTACTCTCTCTCTCTCTCTCTCTCTCTCTCTCTTCTCTCTCTCTCTCTCTCTTCTTTGTCTTTCTCATTCTTTTTTTTTCCGTCTCCATTCTTTCCTCTTTTCTGCATCTCCTCGTTTTTTATTGTCTCTCTTGCTTTCTCCCTCTTTTTCTTGTCTTTATCTAGTTTTCTCCTCTCTGATTTTCTCTTCTTCCCTTTCCTCTTGCTTTCTATCTTCCTTTTTTCCTTTCTCCCTCTTATCTTCTCCTCTTTTGCCTCTTCTTTATCTCCCTTTCCCCTCCCTGTGAATGTCTCCTCTACCTTCTGACCATATTGTGTGCACCAGTCTGGCACACTAGCACTAAGATCATCACTCTTCTTCCCTCCCCCAGGCACTGTGTAAGATTGCTGCCAACTATCAGAACCGTAAGATCGCCTGTGTCCCGGACATCAGACTGGAGGATGGTTCTGAAGCCTGGTACGTATCCTGCCTCCTCTTACCTTATGTTTACTCTCGCCCTTCTAATTACTTACCCAGATGATTACTTGTAATTATCTTGGTTAGTCGGTGGGTGTTGTGATCCAGCTTCTGGGTCCGGCTCTTTAGCTCTTTCTATGCGAGTCTGTGGGTGTTGTGATACAGCTCTTGGGTCTGCCTCTTTTGCTCTTTCTATGTGAGACTTTGGGTGTTGTGATGCAGCTTCTGGGCCTGCTTCTTGAGCTCTTTCTGTGTGAGTCTGTGCGTGTTGTGATGCAACTCTTAGACCCACCTCTCTAACTTACTGAGTTAGTGGGTGTTGGACTGCAGTTCTTGGACTCACTTATCTAACTTACTGAGTTAGTGGGTATTGGGATGCAGCTCTTGGGTCCCCTACTTAAACTATTGAATCAGCTTTTATATGTTACTATAACATGTTACGTAAGAGAATACTGTTATACCTGTTCTTCAAGCTGTGTACTTTCTTCAACGTCTACGTTATGGCCGCACGTAGTCCAACGTACGAACCAAAGCCCGGCTGATCCGGCATTGACTTTAGGTATCTGTCCAGCTCTCTCTTGAAAGCAGCCAGGGGTTTATTGGTAATTCCCCTTATGCTTGGTGGGAGGCTGTTGAACAGTCTTGGGCCCCGGACACTTATGGTGTTTTCTCTTAGTGTACCAATGGCGCCCCTACTTTTAATTGGGGGTATTTTGCATCGCCTGCCCAGTCTTTTACTTTCGTAGGGAGTGACTTTCTGTGTGCAGATTCAGGACAATTCTTTTTAGGTTTTTCCAAGTGTTGATTATGATATATTCCTCTCTTGCGTTCCAACGAGTACAAGTCAAGTGCTTCCAAGCGTTCCAGTAGTTCATGTGCTTGTTAGAACTTACACATGCAGTAAAGGATCTCTGTACACTCTCTAGATCTGCAGTTTCACCTGCTTTGAACGGAGATGATAATGTACAGCAGTATTCCAGCCTGGAGTGAACAAGTGATTTGAAAAGGATCATCATTAGCTTGGTATTTCTCGTTTTGAACATTCTCATTATCCATCCTATCATTTTCTTTGCACTTGTGATCATGGCACTGTTGTGATCCTATATCCTTTCTAAATATAAACTTATACAATTTGAATGGATTGTTTCGAGTTCTTTCTTGAAGGAATATCCTTAGAACCTTATTTATATTTCCCTTGTTTATGCCCATCTTCCACTTATACACTTCAGTCATGTCTTCCCTCGGTCTTCGTCTTACAAGATAAATGTAGATTAAGGGATTTCAGTCGTTCTTCGTATTGACGATTACTTATGCATGGATCAATTTTTTCATTCTTCTCTGAATGTTCTCTAACGAATTAATATCCATTCTGTAGTATGGAGACCAAAACTGAGCTGCATAATCATTAGCTTGTCAGTTTTCTGAGACATTTATCTGCAATTCTCTGAACTCTTGCTGTTTATACTTTTATTTTTTTTATTATCACACTGGCCGATTCCCACCAAGGCAGGGTAGCCCGAAAAAGAAAAACTTTCACCATCATTCACTCCATCACTGTCTTGCCAGAAGGGTCCTTTACACTACAGTTTTTAAACTGCAACATTAACACCCCTCCTTCAGAGTGCAGGCACTGTACTTCCCATCTCCAGGACTCAAGTCCGGCCTGCCGGTTTCCCTGAACCCCTTCATAAATGTTACTTTGCTCACACTCCAACAGCACGTCAAGTATTAAAAACCATTTGTCTCCATTCACTCCTATCAAACACGCTCAGGCATGCCTGCTGGAAGTCCAAGCCCCTCGCACACAAAACCTTTACCCCCTCCCTCCAACCTTTCCTAGGCCGACCCCTACCCCGCCTTCCTTCCACTACAGACTGATACACTCTTGAAGTCATTCTGTTTCGCTCCATTCTCTCTACATGTCCGAACCACCTCAACAACCCTTCCTCAGCCCTCTGGACAACAGTTTTGGTAATCCCGCACCTCCTCCTAACTTCCAAACTACGAATTCTCTGCATTATATTCACACCACACATTGCCCTCAGACATGACATCTCCACTGCCTCCAGCCTTCTCCTCGCTGCAACATTCATCACCCATGCTTCACACGCATATAAGAGCGTTGGTAAAACTATACTCTCATACAATACCCTCTTTGCCTCCAAGAACAAAGTTCTTTGTCTCCACAGACTCCTAAGTGCACCACTCACCCTTTTCCCCTCATCAATTCTACGATTCACCTCATCTTTCATAGACCCATCCGCTGACACGTCCACTCCCAAATATCTGAATACATTCACCTCCTCCATACTCTCTCCCTCCAAACTGATATCCAATCTTTCATCACCTAAACTTTTTGTTATCCTCATAACCTTACTCTTTCCTGTATTCACTTTTAATTTTCTTCTTTTGCATACCCTACCAAATTCATCCACCAACCTCTGCAACTTCTCTTCAGAATCTCCCAAGAGCACAGTGTCATCAGAAAAGGGAGCAACTGTGACAACTCCCACTTTATGTGTGATTCTTTATCTTTTAACTCCACGCCTCTTGCAAAGACCCTCGCATTTACTTCTCTTACAACCCCAACTATAAATATATTAAACAACCACGGTGACAACACAACCCTTTGGGTCAAAGGGCCTACTTTTATGGGAAAATTTAATCTCCCTTTTCCTACATACTCTAACTTGAGCTCACTATCCTCGTAAAAACTCTTCACTGCTTTCAGTAACTACCTCCTACACCATACACCTGCAACATCTGCCACATTGCCCCCCTTTTCCACCCTGTCATACGCCTTTTCCAAATCCATAAATGCCACAAAAACCCTTTAGCCTTATCTAAATACTGTTCATTATATGTTTCACTGTAACACCTGGTCCACACACCCCTACCTTTCCTAAAGCCTCCTTGTTCATCTGCTACCCTATTTATCTATCTTCTAATTCTTTCAATAATAACTCTACCATACACTTTACCAGGTTTTACTCAACAGACTTATCCCCTATAATTTTTGCACTCTCTTTTGTCCCTTTGCCTTTTTACAAAGGGAAATTGCATGCTCTTGCCAATCCCTAGGTCCTTACCCTCTTCCATACATTTATTAAATAATAGCACCAACCACTCCAAAACTATATCCCCACCTGCTTTTAACATTTCTATCTTTATCCCATCAACCCCGGGCTGCCTTCCCCCCTTTCATTTTACCTACTGCCCTCACGAATTTCCCCCACACTCCAACTGGCTCTTCCTCACTCCTACAAGATGTTATTCCTCCTTTCCCTTTTACACGAAATCACAGCTTCCCTATCTTCATCAACATTTAAAAATTTCCCTCAAAATATTCTTTCCATCTTCCCAATACCTCTAACTCCCCATTTAATAACTCTCCTTTCCTATTTTTAACTGACAAATCCATTTGTTCTCTAGGCTTCTTAACTTGTTAATCTCACTCCAAACTTTTCTTATTTTCAACAAAATTTATTGATAACATCTCTCCCACTCTCTCATTTGCTCTCTTTTTAAAATTGCTTCCCACTCTCTTAACCTCTCCTTTTTTCTCCATATACTCTTCCCCCTTGCATCACTTCTACTTTGTAAAAACTTCTCATATGCTAACTTTTTCTCCCTTACTACTCTCTTTACATCATCATTCCACCAATCGCTCCTCTTCCCTCCCGCACCCACTTTCCTGTAACCACAAACTTCTGCTGAACACTCTAACACTACTTTTTTTAAACCTACCCCATACCTCTTCGACCCCATTGCCTATGCTCTCATTAGCCCATCTATCCTCCAATAGTTGTTTAATATCGTACCGTAACTGCCCTCTTTTAGTTTATAAACCTTCACCTGTCTCTTCCCTGATGTTTCTGTTCTCCTTGTATCCCATCTACCTTTTACTCTCAGTGTAGCTACAACTAAAAAGTGATCTGATATATCTGTGGCCCCTCTATAAACATGTTTCAAACCTGAAGTCTACTCAACAGTCTTTTATCTACCAATACATAATCCAACAAACTACTGTCATTTCGGGCCCTACATCATATCTTGTTTTACTTATTTATCTTCTTTTTCTTAAAATATGTATTACCTATAACTAAACCCCTTTCTATACAAAGTTCAATCAAAGGGCTCCCATTATCATTTACACCTGGCACCCCCAAAATTACCAAACCCCACCCCTCTAAAAGTTTATACTCTTTATATAAATCCCATAATTCTTTGCCCTTTTTACGTAAGCTTACCAAACCTCCAAGTCTTTTTTCGCATTCTGTACGGGCCAAATTCTATATTATTTAGTTTACAAGTGCTGAGGTTATGTACATTTCCAACTTTAGGACTTGAAGGCAGTGTGCAGCTCTTGTAAAGACTCAGGAGTCGTGCACCGCTTGTACAGTCAGTCAAGTTGACATGGGCAGTTTGGGAGCAGATAGCAGGGAACATCAATTAGTACTAAAACTGCTGATGTAAGGAGACAGTGCAGGTGATTTTCCACACACAAAACACACACAAAACACAAAACACACACACACACACACACAAACAACCACACACCCACACATCCTTCCTGAGGAAGGATAGAAGGAGCAGGGGGGAGGAGGGGTTGCACTACTAATAAAAAAACCGGTGGGGTTATCAAGAAATGGAAGGAAAGGACGAGATTGAGAAAGGGATTACATAGTAGTACAGTTTCATCAGGGGAACACAAGGTAGTCATTGCAGTTAGTATAACCCACCACAGAACTGCGGAGGCCAAAGGGGAAATTATGAATGTGGGTGGGTTTTTGATCCAGTTTCTGGGTCCGGCTCTTTAGCTCTTTCTATGCGAGTCTGTGGGTGTTGTGATACAGCTCTTGGGTCTGCCTCTTTTGCTCTTTCTATGTGAGACTTTGGGTGTTGTGATGCAGCTTCTGGGCCTGCTTTTTGAGCTCTTTCTGTGTGAGTCTGTGCGTGTTGTGATGCAACTCTTAGACCACCTCTCTAACTTACTGAGT